TATATATATATATATATATATATATATATATATATCAAAGGTCAAAGTCGTTAACATAGTTTAAACACCCCCTTTTTTGTTTTGTTTAGCAGCAAAAATAAGTAAAAGAAGGAATAATTTTTTTTTGCTGCTAAACAGAGATAACTATAATTTGAAGCAAAAACAGCAAAAAAAACCCACAAATAAATTAATTTACTCAGTTAAAAATTTGATTATTTTGCAGTTAATTCCACTTATTACAACATTAGTGTCAACATTAGGTCTTCGAAATTTTCATAGCCAAGATGATATTTGGGATATCTATTCACCACTTAATGGCCGTTCACGTATTGAAGAAAAAGCATTACAACGTTTTGAACATGCCAGCAGTTCTCATCATTACAGGGTTAGTTCAATAGAAAAAAATAACCAAAAAAAAAAATCTGAATCTTATCAATTTACATTGAAAATATCATATTAGTTGTATAAATAAAAGTTGATAAAATTGAAAGACTTGAAAAAAAAGAAAAATTTAGAATTTCTTTCTTCTGTTGAATTTTTGTTTCAGCTGAATTTTTGGCTTTAGTTTGGCTAAAGCTTTTTGGCTTTTAAATTGGCTTTAGTTTCTTTTTATAATAGTTATTCGTTTTTTTTTTTTTTTTCATCTTCTTCTTCTTCTTTTTTCTTTTTTCTCTATTTATCATAAATTAATTTATTATACATTAATTTTTTTTTTTTCATTTTTTTGTTTTCAGCTGTATTCTGTATGAATGGTATTATGTAATTTTAGATACAAATTTTGGTAAACAAAAAAGATGGTGGCGATTTGATGAATGAAATGTCAATTAACGAAATGTTAACTGTACATAAATTTGTGGTAGAAAATATTACTGTTACTGAACATAACAAAGTTTATGGTTATAAAGATTTTTGTGGTGTTTATTGTAACGACAGCAATGCCATTGTTCTTGCATTTGTACAGGTAATTTTAACCTTTATTAATTTTTACTACCTATTCTGTTCGGTTTTTTTGACAAAGCAATTTTTTTTTATTTTTTTTAAACTCTCAGAATAGTTAAGTACAAAAAAAAAATTTTTTTTTTTTTAACCTTAGTTTTATCTAATGTAAAAAAAAAAACTGTTGACTAAGAGATAAAATGTAGAAAAATATTAGATTAGAAAACCAGGTACAGGACATTTTAGTTCGCTGTTGTATAAACACCTATTGATCTTCAAAGCATTGCTAAAAATTAAGCACTAAATATTGCTTTAGTAGAAAAGAAGAAAGTAAAATATTTTTTTGTTCTTAATAAAAAAAAAAAATTTGAAGATTTTTTGAAAGCAAATACCTGTTGCAAAGTATTTGTAACCATCTTTTAGCCGAACATTAATTAAATCTTCTTACCTACCACATCAGTGGTAATCATTTCTGAGGCGCAAAAACTTATTTGATATATATATATATTTCTTAGCAAAATATACTCTTATAACTAATATTTATGTCAAAAAAAAAGAACTTAAAATTTGTAGGCAGTAGTTGATATTAATGGTCGAACAACTTCCATACAATTAACATATCCAAATGCACAAGCACTTCAGAAACGTCTATTTGTTGGGTTGGTTTGTTGCTTTTGATCTTAAGCTCTATTCAATCACATTTAACTTTTAAACTATTACAGCGTATTTTAATTGTAGCAAAAATAATAAATAATTTTTTTAGAACTCTGTAAATTTTGTATAAAAAAACTTTTTTCAAGTTATACAGTCTTTAATTATTGATAGAAATAAAAATTAAAGCTTATTTTAGGTATTCACTTGGTGACCTACATTTTTCATCGTTTGATCCAACAGTTGTTGACGGTTTTAAACTTTTTGTTTTACATTTTATGGTTAGCAATCAGTTTTCTCGCAATAATACTTGTCTTATCTTCGCTTTTTTCTACTTTTTTTTTCTCCTTTTTTTTTTTTGTTGAACAACAATTTTTTTAAATGCTCTTAATGTCTATAGCTTTTCAGGTAGATTTAAGTATTCCACATGGTCGAGCAATAGCTGAAAAATTTGAGGAGAAACTAAGAATAGTTTTTCAAACAGCAACCAGAGAATCAGCGGTAAATATTTAGCAGCAATTTTGTATTTATAGATATCATCACAAACGTTTTATGCTATTTTTCTTTTTTTTTTGATTGTTCAAAAAAAGAAAAAATAATAATATTATTTTTTTGAGGCATAAAAAAAGGTTTTTGATTTATTTATGTGTAAAACAAAGTAGAAAGAAAAATTCTTTTTTTTTTCTAATATTAATTAACAATTTCTAAAAATTTTTAATTTAGAATTTGGAATTTGGTTTATTAAGTCGTAACAGAGAGTTGGAGGAACAGAGACGAATTTCACTGGTGTCGCTTCCATACCTCGGTGTTACAGCTGCTGTTTTAACACTATTTATGATTATCACCCTTGTGAATTTTCCATTGTATAAAAGTCAACATATCGAAGTTAGTTTTTTTTTTTTTTTTGAATCTTTCTAAAAATTAAAAACAGTTTTCTTTTATTTTTTTAATAATTTTGTTGAATCAGCAAAAATCAAACTGTTTTTTTTTTTTTTGATTTGTTTCTTTGTTTGTTTTTTGTTTTTTTTTTTTGTTTAAATAACTAATATACAATAATAGAAGTTTTTTGGTTTTTTTTTTAAATGATAAATGTTGTTCACTGTTACCGTTGAAGGCAGTAGTTGGTGTTCTGTCACCAGCAATGGCTCTTATTACAACAGCTGGTTTTTTGTGGGGAATTGGTTATCCGTTTTCAAACATTCTTACTGTTGTTCCATTTTTGGTTGTAACAATTGGAATTGATGACGCTTTTCTTATCCTCGCCGGATGGCGTCATTCAAGGTATTTTTGAGCATTGTTTTATAAATTTGGCCATTTATGAACTATAACTATAAAAAAAAAAAAGATAAAGTTACCACAAATTTTTTGTAGATTTTAACTGTATAATTTTGATAATCAAATGAAAGAGAAATTTTTTGTTTCAGTTCAATAAGCACATTTGAAAAACGAATGGGTGCAACGTTGGCCAAATCTGGAGCTAGCGTTACAGTTACATCTGTAACCGATGTATTATGTTTTGCAGTTGGCTTAATTTCAAATTTGCCTGTTGTTCAACTTTTCTGTATCTATACAGCATTTGCGTTAACTTTGGATTTTATTTATCAGGTTGTTAACGGCTACAAAATTTGATACCTTTTTTTTTACAACACTGCAAAAATGACAAAATTTTTGCCATTTAATATGCAATTATTGTTATAAAGTATAAATGAAATAATTTTTAGCTGACATTTTTTACATCTGTCGTTGCCTATTGTGGCAGAAGGCAAATGAAATTGGATGAGAAAAGACGTTATGCAACAAATAATTTGGTAAGTAAAAAAAAAAAAAAAAGAAAACAATATTTCTGATTATTTTATTAAGTAAAAAATTGGCAAGCAAAATTTCTACATTGAATAAAATTGATTGTTTGTTCAACTTTTTAAGCTTGTCGAACAGAAAGGAATATTAAAAAAAATATTCAAAAAAATTACTCGATTTGGCGCAGCTGTAGCTGATGAAAAGGGAAAACGCAGTGTTGCTCCAGCTGAAAACATGGTTACTGGAGACTTCTTTAAGCCTCAGATACCATTTAAGAATGAACAACGTAGCAGGCTTTTGCAATTTGTTGACTTCTTACATCATTCTGCAACCCGAACTGTCGTTATGGCTATATTTATTGGGCATCTTGCTGTAAGTTTTACTGCCAAAACCATTTTCTTTTAACAATTAATTTTCAGAACATCAATTAAGTTACTGTTAAATTTGAGGTTCAGATTGGTTCATTGCCAAAGTCTTTGGTAAAACTTAATAGCTATTTCTTCCGTTTAGGCGTCAACGTATTTGTGCACGTTGGTAAACACAGATTTCGAGATGGAAAACCTTTATCTGAAAGATTCACCATTAAATTCAATTTCAAGAAAAATGCAAAAGTTTGTGCTGAATGAATCATTTGTTGTAAATTTTGCATTGTATCCGATGCCAAATTTTGGTGATCCATTCATACGTGAAACATTTAACAAGATGATCACGGATCTGGAAACTATTCCAAAATACTCTCGAGGAGAACTAGGAACAAACGTTTGGGTTCGAGAGTTTACAGACGTTAGTGATTGCTTGATTTAATTTTTCTACTTTTTCTTTTGTAAACAATCATGATGCTTCTTCAGTGCAAGAAAATAATGATAAAAAAGTTTTTAAAAGAAAACTTTTAGGCAGTTACTTTTTGGGGCGAAGAAGGTGATTTTTGGAAACAAGACGAATTGTTAAAACACTTTCGAGAATATGGATTGGATGAAAATTCTATTACAACAAGGTTAATCATTTCAATTTTTTTTCTGTAAGCTATCAGATACAGCTGAAAACCGCACGACTTTACGTTCAGAACAAAC